ACCAAGGACCCTCAGGCGAGTGCCTACTTCAACCAAAGGCATGATCTGGGAGAACCTTCACATAAGGTCCTCCCAGCATTGCTTCTGGGGAGTTTGTTCCCATTTCTGGATAAGAAATAGGATAACAGCTTTCAACTGCATTCTCAAGAGTTCATTGGGACTGAGGCTGTGCATTTCAAAAGTTAGCTCATGTTGAGAAGAATGACATTTCTAAGTTTGCCAGAACTATACTGACTTCTCTTCCATCTCAAGAGAAGGAAACATTGCATCTCACCACTGAATCCCAAGGAGTACAACGGAGTGGGAAAATCACTCCCACTCCTTAGAGGAGTGCCTTCAGACACTTATTTGTTGTGTGAAATTTCTGCTCAGGAAAATGACTGTTCCTGGATCTGTTTATGGGAATGGATCCCATAGAGGATGGATGGGTGCTTCATGTTCTTAGGAAAGCAATTTGAAAATAATGGCTCAGTTATTTCAAAACAACAGGAAAATAAGATTAAAGTTCACAAAGCAGAAAAGCCTTTCACGGACTGAAGAGACTCGATTATGATCTCCTTTGGAGAAAACTGTAGAAAGGGGCTGAGCAGAAAAGACAGATGTGGAATAAAGTAGTTTGTACATACCATCAAAGAAAATAAAAATTCCTTTTGGTGATAATGAGTGTTGAATGGTAACTGAGCCTTTTGGTGAAAAAGCACTGAAAACCAGAAGCCCATAGCTTTTTTTTTTTTTCACTATCTTTTAGATCTTGGGCTGCATATTTACATGATGAACTTCCAAAAAGCAAGTTTTCTAGGGAGAAAAAGCTTTTCAAAATGCAAAGTAGACTTGCTTGGTTTTCTCTCTGTCATAGATGTGTTTGAATGTTCCTGCACCTCCAATGCATCCACTAAAATGGATGTTTTAAGAATGCCAATCAGCTCGATATCAGAATTTCGTACTCTCTTTCATAGTAATTTCATTTTTCACTTCTGGTTTGAAGTTTTGCCTTAGTCCATGTTTCTACATCTTGAGTTTTTGTGAGGGAAACAGAAGCAATCACAGCAGAGAAAGACTGGGCTAGGACTCACCAAGTATGGCTCATCTTCACAGACCTTTCATATTTTAACATTTCCTTTTAAAAACAATGCTCTGAAAGGGGATGGTGGGATGGCTCAGCTGTTAAAGACTAGGCTCACAACCAAAAATATCAAAATGTTAGAAGGTGTTACCCCAAGATACATTATGTTGTTTGTGGCTATTGTAAAGGGTGATGTTTCTCTTGTTTCTTTCTCGGCCCCTTTATCATCTGTATATAGTAGGGATACTGATTTTTTTTTTTAATTTAACCTTGTATCCTGCTAATTTGCTGAATGTGTTTATCAGCTGTAGAAGTTCCCTGGTAGATTTTTTCAGGTCACTTATGTAACCTATCATATCATCTGCAAATAGTGAAAGTTTGACTTCTTCCTTTCCAATTTGTATCCCCTTGATTTTCTTTTGTTGTCTTATTGCTCTAGCTAATACTTCAAGTACAATATTGAAGAGACATGGAGAGAGTGGGCAGCCTTGTCTTATTCCTGATTTTAGAAGAATCACATTGAGTTTCTCTCCATTTAGTTTGATGTTGGCTGTTGGTTTGCTGTATATTGCTTTTATTATGTTTAGATAAGTTCCTGTTATCTCTGATCTCTCCAAGACCTTTGTCATGAAGGGTTGTTGGATTTTGTCAAAGGCTTTTTCAGCATCTACTTAGGTAATCATGTGGTTTTTCTTTTTCAGTTTGTTTATATAGTAGATTACATTGATGGGTTTTTATATGTCTGTAAGGAGTATGGTTTTCCCACCTGCCGCCTGATCTTGTCCCGCCGCTGTGCCAGCCCCAATTAACACACAGAGACCCTGTATTAGATACAATTCTGTTGGCCAGGTGCTAGTTTCTTATCGGCTAGCTCTGTCTTAATTATTAACCCATTTCTATGTATTTCCACGTGGTCTTGCCGAGAGCGGAGGAATGGCGGTTCTGTTCTCTCCAGGCTCTCCATCCTGACTCCTCCTTCCTACTTCCTCTTTTCTCCTTGTCTCCTAGTCCCTCCTATCTTGTTTTCCTATTGGCCAACAGTGCTTTATTCATTAACCAGTATGAGAAGCATATATACATAATGGCATCTCCCATCATCTCCTCTTTTCTGTCTAAATAAAAAAAAGGGTTTTAACCTTAACATAGCAAAATATATTATACAACAGTTATCAAGTAAGAATCACAGTTAACAATATTTAGTCCATTAACATTTAGCAAGATTTGAAGAAAATATTTTATCATCTATTTTATCTTTGTGTGTCTAAAGTCTAAGTAACTTATCTTTAATCCTAATTAATGAAAACTATAACCATAACTATCTGTCTTCAACACAGAAGGATAATATATAAGCTCTAGAAATGACAGAGACAACTCACTGCCCAGTCACCCCAAGTTCTTTTGTAATCTTCTATCCTTAGCCCATAGGCCATAGTGTGTCTGGCAGACTCTTTAGCAAAGCAGGAAACTTTAAACTGTCTTTTTGTATTGGCAGCTTGTCCGTTACTTTTCTCTGTGTCCTGTAGACTGTCTGGCAGATTCTTCCATGAAGCAGGAATTTTGTAGCAATGTCCATCTTGAATTAGCAGTCACATTTCTGTGGGTCCTGCATGTCCAGTTTATACAGCATAAAGTCAAACAGTCCAGACAAGAGCAGTACCTTGTCCAAATGGCTAGTCTTGCCATATTGGAAGTAACTTTATAACGCATTTCTTTGATGTCCATCTTCCATCTTTCTTTCTAGTTCAGGTGGTGTTGCCAGGAGCATTTATGTCTCACTGTCAAGAAAAACCCTAAACCATTTTAAATGCCATATTCTGTAGGTCTTTGAAAGGTTTGAAGAATGCCTATCTATCTCAAATACATCTCTGTGTATTTTGAAAACCTAGCTTACTTAACTCTAAGCTTTGACTATCATAGGTAATTATCTATAATCTGTACTACATTATACATTTCTGAATGAACTATATAAACACAATACATAAACAAAAGGAGAAATATACACATCACAAAATTGACCTTAAATTGTATCAATAAATGAAAATCCAATCCTATCTTGCTTTCCTATTGGCCAACAGTGCTTTATTCATTAACCAGTATGAGAAGCATATATACATAATAGCATCTCCCATCATATGTCGAACCATCCCTGGGATGAAGCCTACTTGGTCATGGTGGATGATTTCTCTGATGTATTCTTGGATTCATTTTGCCAGTATTTTATTGAGTATTTTTGCATCAATGTTCATTAGAGATATTGGTCTGTAGTTCTCTTTCTTAGTTGTGTCTTTGTGTGGCTGTGTACCAGGGTAACAAACAAGTGAAAGACCTATATAATAAAAACTTTGAGTCTTTAAAGAAAGAAATTAAAGAAGATACCAGAAAATGGAAAGATCTCCTATGCTCTTGGATAGGTAGGGTCAACATATTATAAATGGAAATCTTTCCAAAAGCAATCTACAGACTCAATGCAATCCCCATCAAAATCCCAGCACAATTCTTCATAGACTTTGAAAGAACAATCCTCAACTTTATATGGAAAAACCAAAAGACCAAAGATAGCCCAAACAACCCTGTACAATAAAGGAACTTCCTGGGGCATCACCATCCCTGACTTCAAGCTCTATTATATGGCACAAAAAAAAAAAAAAAAAAAAAAAAATGACAGGTAGATCAATGGAATTGAATCGAAAACCCTGCTACTAACCCAAATACATTATCGCAGCACTGTCTTGGTCAGATATGTTTTGGTTTACTGTATTTCATGCGCAGTGTATTTGATTATCCTTTCCTTTAGACCGTATTTCCTTTTCTAGGGTATGCTCCTTGTTTCCACAATGTTATCTGTCTTGTGTCCACACTGAATGTGTAAATTGCTTAGTAGTGTCTCTGAGACAACCTTAGGTTGGACTGGAATTCAGCTTTGAGCAATGTGTGATCTTAGTATCCCTGTGTAGTGCTCATCCTATAGCACCTACTCTCAGGTAGGCACCCTGTGTCTTGCTATGGGCATGCATGGCTCAGTCTCAGATCAGGCTCAATTGAAAGCAGTACTCCCATGTGCAGCGCTCCCCATGTGCAGTGCTGTCTGTGTGCAGTGTTCCCCGTGTGCAGCACTCCCCGTGTGCAGTGCTCTCTGTGTGCAGTGCTCCCGTGTGCAGTGTTCCCCGTGTCCAGTGCTCCCTGTGTGCAGTGTTCCCCGAGCAGTGTTTCCCGTGTACAGCACTCCCCGTGTGCAGTGCTCTCTGTGTGCAGCGCTCCCTTGTGCAGTGCTCCCATGTGCAGCACTCCCCGTGTGCAGCGCTCCCTGTGTGCAGTACTCCCGTGTGCAGTGCTCCCATGTGCAGTACTCCCTGTGTGCAGTGTTCCCCGTATGCAGTGTTCCCCGTGTGCAGCACTCCCCGTGTGCAGTGCTCCCTGGTACAGTGCTCCCTTGTGCAGTATTCCTGTGTGCAGCGCTCCCCGTGTGCAGTGCTCCCTGTGTGCAGTGCTCCCTGTGTGCAGCGCTCCCTGTGTGCAGCGCTCCCTGTGTGCAGCGCTCCCCGTGTGCAGCGCTCTCTGTGTGCATATGGGACTTCCTTTATCACTTTGTTGGTATGAGTAAGCATCACTCTTCTGACTGCTGGAGCAAATGTTGGAATCACATCCCATGTTTACATGTGTCAGCATCATTGTACTTGTAGGCCAGAGTCCAATATCAGAAAATGATTTCCAAATGTACTTTGGTCTGTACTGTAATTGTTTATGTGGTATGGTAAATCATTTTGGTATTACCAACCAGAAACAGAATGTATGCCTTCCCTTGTGATATGATGTTTTAAAACAACACATCCCCAAAATATTTCACGTGAATTATTTTATGTATTTCATTTGCATCTTTCTAGATCTGATTTGGATCCTAGAAATAGGTACTATTAGATCTGATAAACTCTGACCGACCATGTCCTACCACTGTGAGAAACCAGAGCAGTTTGTGACTAGGTACTGAAATTTACAAGGATATTGCCATAGATGCTATCATTGGTTTTGAAACTAAATCTCATTCTTTCTATAAAAATCAAGGGGTAGGCAAAGCCTGTCTCATTGTTGTACCTGAAGATGTCTGAAGAACACATATGTTTCTGAGAATTTTGAAGATTGAAACGTTAATTCAGGAAGTTGGAAAGTTTAGAGTAAAGAGACACTAAAACAATTCCTGCAACCAAAGTTGGACTGTATGTGTGTGTGTGAGAGAGATGACTGTATTCCAATCTATAGTATAATAAGTTTAATATAGTACAAAGAATGGTCAAAATATTTAGTTAGTATACCATCACAATGGGGAAAGCCCTATGTATTATTTTCATTGACAAATTCTGTTAGAACTGATTCTCTCCAGACATGGAAAATGATGGGGAAATGTTAGTACCATTATTGCCTATGTGAATTAACTTTAAAAATGGGCTCACTTGTATATACATTACACATGCTGCTAGAAAATGCCAAATCATTATGATCACACTTCGAGTCTAGAGAGCATTTCAGCATGAGTAATATCGCCCCATTCTGATATTTAATTTAAATGGAAAGGTTAAGACTGTCAAAATCAATTCACCCATTAAATCAGGATTGTATCTGTGGTATTTCTGTAACTGGAATATGCTGGAGGAAAAATCCTCCTTTTGTAAGAGAAAGTGGAAATGTCTAGTATCCATTTCTAATTTCCACACCACATTTCTCTAAAGATGGAGGTTTCTGTTCCACCAGGTCCTTCCACCCTTCAGCACCAAATAAGCATACAGAGATATATTAATTATTAGACTGTTGGCTGATGGCTGGGGGTTCTTATTGGCTAGCTCTGTCTTAATTATTAACCCATAACTACTAATCTATGTATTTTCCATGTTTTTGGTTTTTCAAGACAGGGTTTCTCTGTATTGCTTTGAAAGTTGTCCTGGAACTCACTCTTTAGACCAGGCTGGCCCCGATTCACAGAGATCTGCTTGCATCCCAAGTGCTGGGATTAAAGGCATGAGATACCAATGTCTAGCTAATCTATGCATTTCTACATGGCCTTATTTTACCAGAGAATGCCCGGCATATTCTATCTTCCCAGTATCTACCTGACATCTCTGAGCAGTCTCTCTCTCCTCTCTCTTCAGCCTTCTCCTCATCTCTGAGTCCCACCTGTCTTTCTGCCTCTGCTGGCCAGTGTTTTATTCATCAACCTATAAGAGAAACATATATACAGAAGAACATCCCTTATCATTTCTCATGTGAAGAAAAAAGTAGTTTAGCCATGATACATTAGGCTCAGAGTTCCATCCATGACTCTACATTTCTCCCAGTTTACTAATTACATTGGGTACTCATGTGGATGGGGTACACATATAGACAGTGAAAAAAATCTCCCATTAATAATTTCAGGATTGTGAAAATCTTTACTTTCTAGTCATGATGTCTACAACATGGAATGTTTTTACTTTGTTAACAGATACTATGATGCAAAACTAGGAAATCCATCCTGCATATGACAGCGGCAGCTATAAATTGTTCATATAATACACTTAATATTTGAGGAAGCCCATTTAGAGATTTTCCAAGTGCCTTCCCTAGATAGGATGTAGGCTACATTGTCTTGAATTTATAATGCATACTTACACTGAGTACAAGTTAATTAATTATGTGTTCAGCCTCTGAAATGTGTATCACATAATAAAGTATGCATTTGGTGAGTTTTCTGCATGTTTTATAGTTTCTTTTTTAATATGCCATTTGGTATCCCTTAAAAAGAAATCATTTTTTTTTTTTAGATTTGGGTCCTGGCAAAATATGCATCTCTGCCAAGGGCTTGAATTTTCTTCCTTTTAAAGACAATGAGTAGCATGGGTTTTATTTGCTTATTCACGTATCAGATGAATCAAAGGCCAAAGAATGATGTAGCTCATTTCATGTGGACATTTAATACTGAAAGAAAAGCAACTCATCAAGTTAAAGAAAAAACAAAACAAAACAAAAAACAAAGAGCAACAACAACAAAACTGTGTTCAAGGCTGCTGAGCTGCTGCCCCCAACATGATTTTTGAACAAGCCACCTATTCTTTTGAGTCTTAATTTGTTTTTTTTTAAAAAGCATTTGTTTTTTACTTTTGAGATTATAATTTAATTACAGCATTCCTCCATTCTCTTTCCTCCATCTAAAAACCCTTATATCCCCCCTCCTTGTTCTCCTTCAAGTACATGGCCTCTTATTACACTAATTGCTGTTGAATGTATGCTGTCTGTCTACTTATCTTCTACCTATACCTATCTGTATCTGTCTGTCTCTCCCTCTCTCTCTCTACACACACACACACACACACACACACACACACACACACACACTTATTCCTTAACATAACCAGTTCAATCTGTATTTTCTTGTCAGTAGTATGTGGATCATTATATTGAATCCATAGGTTATTGGAAAGTGCAAATGATCCACACGGGGAAAGATACTAAATGATATTAAAGGTACTGTTTTGTGATGGAAAACTATGTAATCCATGTTGTGCAAAGTCAGTTATAGAATATTGAGAGTTGTCATTCATCTTTTCCTCTGACCCATGTGCCTCTTCTACTCTACTGAGTATAGTCTGAAAAAAAAAAAAAAAGAGTCATCCACATCTATGACCCAATGCAGTAGATATTTTCAAACTATAATGTTTGGTGTGAAATGGGACCTTTTTAAGGAGTCTTTATAATCTTACCATGCAATTCGGGAACTTTCTAACAACAACAACAAAACCAAAACAAACAAACAAAAAATAAAAAACAAACAAAAAAAAAAAAAAAAAAAAAAAAAAGGAAAAGAAGACCATAGAAGCACCAACTGCTGCTCTCCTCTGACACACTTTAAAATATTTTCCTATACATTTTTATATTTATTTTTGTGTGTGTATGTGTGTATGTGGAGGTGTGATATGTGTATGTCATATGCACATATGGAAGCCAGTGGTCCAGCGTTAGTTCTTTGTTTCCATCCTGTGGTTTCTAGGGGTGGAGAGCTGACTGCCAGACTTGATGGCAAGTACTCTTCCTTGCTAACCCTCTTGCCAGAGCCCTATTGCTCTGCTGTAATGCATGGAATAGAAGTCCCATGTGGAAAAGGCTATGACTTTCTTATTCACCCACCACAGATGCTCCTTAAGGATTTGCCAAATTTTTAAACTAAAATGCTACCCTAACCAATCAAATTGGAAACTTTTATAAGGACCGAAGTTTGAAGAAGATACCTCTGGGCTTACAAAATATATACACTAACAAAATCATCCACTTTTCTTCTCTCCGGAGCATTGATATGTTATCATAAGGAAATAGACAAGACAAGTTTCTGTCTCTTTTAATAACTTCAGAAAAATGCAGTAAACAATTGTCTGAAAAGAAACACTTATAAGAACTAGTTTGGTCTCTCTCTTAGCTCCACCAGCACATCTGACTTCTGTGAGTATTGGAGATACTCATCCAAATTTCTCCCCTGAGATTGTATTTCTGCTATGGAATGTACACAGTTCGCCTCATGTTGTGCCAACTATGTATGTATCTACCGTGTACTGAACCTACCTCTCAAAGGTATAGGTATTCTTCAAAGTAGCTTGCCGAGTGCCATTAGAACAGTTAATAGACGTGTGTTGAAATGTTGGATTGTAGACGCTGGGGTTAGCACAGGGCTCAGTTCTCAGCTTGTAATCTTGTTAGGCTCCTACAGGTGGCCAACTTCTGACAAACTGCAAGGCAGCAAGGTGATTTAAAGTACACTTTAAAGGGAAGATATAATTTAGCCCATATGTTGAAATGAAGCATGCAGGCATTCAGACACTTCATACAAACAGAAAAGAGACCCAGAATCTGCTACAGGGCTTACTTGTAGTATTTCAAGATGTATTTCTTAGTATTGGAAGAATATATTTAATAGTAACAATAGAAGTCCTAGGAAGTTTAGGACTCAATAGGTTAGAGGTTAGACCCTGAGTGACAACTGCAGTAGGTTTCTACTTGGCAAAGGTGACTTAACACAAAATTTGTATAGCCTTGAGAGGGGTGTTTGGAACGAGAATGAATTGCTTTTGGCTGGGCTTTGGTGGCACACACCTTTAATCCCAGCACTCGGGAGGCAGAGGCAGGCAGATCTCTGTGAGTTCAAGGCCATCCTAGTCTACAGAGCTAGTTCCAGAACAGATTCCAAAGAAATACAGAAAAACCAAAAAAAGAAAAAAAAAATGATAGTGGCCAGATATCTTTGTGTTACATTGCACTCAGGGTTTTCAGTGTCTTAGTCTCCTTCTCATTACACCGATAAAAACAGGCTGACCAAAAGGAATTTAGGAAAGCAAATGGCTTGTTTGGCTTACACTTCCACATGTTAGTCCATAATTAAGGGCATTCAAGGCAAGAACTGAAGCGGGATTTTGAAGATGAAACCGTGGAGGAGCACCGTCTGTCAGCTCTCACACACTGTTTCCTCACAGGCTCGTGCTCAGTGATGTTTTATAGAGTCCAGGACCTTCTGACTAAAATGACACTGTCTGCTGTAGCCCCAACCATCCTTATCTATCAACAATCAAGAGAGTTTGCAGACACAACTATAGACAATCTCATGTGGACAAACTCTCAATTGAAATTTCCCCAGATGACTCCTGGTTATGTCATCTGGACCACTGAAAAGAATTAAAACATTCATCTCCTGACAACTCAACACACAAACACACCACTTTAAGCCATAACCTTTCATTTCTTGTTTCCAGGAGCTCACACCGATAGTATAAGACAGAGTCCTCCTTTAAAAGTCCTACCGTAGTCTTCTGAAATTTTAACTTTAAAAGCCAAGGTCATTTTAAAAATTCGTCTTAACTGTGGCCTCCTAGACAATTAGAAAAACAACTGAAAGGATTAGAGCACAGGCAATTACATCAAAGCAATATTAAAAGTCTATGTTAATAGAATCCTATAGCATTTGGGACTTA